CCCCAAAACCCCAAAACCCCAAAACCCCAAAACCCCAAAACCCCAAAACCCCAAAATTCTAAATTTTAATTGAAGACAATGAATTTTGATGAATAAGATTATATAGTAATAATATAATATGTCGGAGTTTGTCGCCCCGAAATTGTAAATTTAGGGTGTAGATATTAAAATTATCAATAAATTATTCTTCTAAGCCAATAGCTTTGACTAATGACTTAACCCAGCTTGGGGTATGGACTCTAGCTGATTCTATAAAGTGAGTTCCCCAGATGGCCTTCAAGACTTTGATACTATCGCCATTTTTGTGGTAGAATACCACCAAGTTATCAAATGATATAACTTTTATTGATTTAGTATTATCAGAAGATGGAATACTAATTCACTCTGGGTTTAAGCTCAGCAAGATGCTAAGCTTAGATTGGATAGAGTTAGATGAGTAAAAGAATTCTAATTTTCCTTGCCTCACTAGGATATCAAATTCTTTTAACACTTCAGCGTCATAACTCACATTATGAATGGATTTGCAAATCCGGTCTTCCTCTTCTTTGATATAATCTTCAGCAAACTCAACTCCTCTTCTAATATTTTCAATCAGAATTGGAGGGACATTAGAGTCTCTAATAAGATCTTTCCTCATTTTAATTATAGTTTCAGAAGTGAGGCTTCTAATATCACATATAATAGACTGATGAATAATTTTCGCTCCAGCAATAATCATGCTGTTGTTATTAAATTTTTTAACTTGACCAATAGACCATACCTTCTCTCAATCAGGCATCTCCTCGAGATAAGCTTGTAGGTCTTCTTCTTCAAGGATATCGTCAGGGCCTGATATCAATCTCCTCGCATTGTCCGGAGTATGTTGGATCCAAATATACCTAGATTCATCAATAATTTCTTGAATCTGTTCTAATGTCCGTTGCTTTGCTTCAACCTTTGTAAGAACTTTAGGAATCAGCAGTCAATCTTCAGGAAGTCCATACTTTTCCCTGAGTGGAGATTCAGCAAGTCCTATCGGTTTTAGATGAAGAAATTCTGAACTATCAACAACTTCTTCAACATGGAGTAAATCTGATTGGTTATTCTTAATCCCAATACTATTTTTGAAAGCATTGCAATAAGAATATTCCATATCAGGTTCTGAATCAGTCTTATCTTCACAGAAATCTCCAGAAGATATAACTGTATCTTCCATTTGATCAAATTCTAAATCTTGATATCCTGTAGCGAATGGGTCGTCGGCATCTAATTTTAAGTTTCATATTTCTGCTTCACCTATTCTAGGATCTTTTCTTAAAAAGCAGCATATCCTGTTCTTATAACTCTTAAAGTAACTAACTTGAGAGAGCATCCCTGAAAAAGACTTCAAGCGATCCTCTTCCAATAGAAAGTTCATCTCTTCAACAAGTTTATCACATTTATAACTGAAGTTGAAATCCTTTCCAAATTTTGGTTCAGAGAATTCTGGGCAGTCGTCAAAGAAGTCAAGACTCAGAGGGAATGAGTAGTGTCCAAATTCATCTTGTTTGTAAGCACTGGGTCTAAAGTTGATCGGTAATTGAAGCTCTTCACTTAAGAAATAGTTCAGGCAATCCTCCATACTAAATTTAAATTTATTCAATACCACTCTGAATATAAGGGGTTTTGGGGTTTTGGGGTTTTGGGGTTTTGGGGTTTTGGGGTTTTGGGG